AAAAAAAAGACAATGAGACATCGTAATAGGATGGAATGGATTTTAATTTGCTTCTGTTATGGTTTCCTTTTTTCAGGTATTTCTTGACCTGATGATCTTAACGTCTTTTTGAAGATCTTAAATGTTAGTGGGCAGAAGAAGTGGATTCTTAATGAGCTGTTTTCTCTCCCTCCCTCCTCTGGCTGCTTGTCTTCACTAAACTGTCATGAAATGGTTCGTCTGTCACTACAAGAACTTCTGTTGTCTGTGAACTGATTTGAATTAAATGACCTCAAAAGTTTCGTAGTTCATTCCTATGTGGAATAATGAGTTTCTATACATTTAGAAAAAAACAGAAAAATACAAATTTAACGTTCCTTAACATCAACCATCTTATTTATGATAATAGAGGTGAGAACTTTCAACGTGTACTTCGCCAATTACCAAAGTAGGCCTCATTGATTTAATAACCTGTCTTCATAGGAGGTTCAACCATTTGGATTGATGGTATGTTGAGTGTATGTGTCACTTTATGAAATAATTGGTAAATGGGCTTTTTTTTCTTTTATAAGTTTGGTATTTAGTTGTTTTTTACACTTTGAAAAGAAGGAAGAAAAACGGGTATTATGTAGATCTTATTCGTTTATAATTCCTTTGTTATGAAGAGCCCAATGTCATTTATTGGCCTGTAGAAATCTTAATTCTCCCATTTTCTTGGCTGATTCAGTAGTGTGGATACAGATTAGATGCTCTGAGGGGAGGAGCATGACTGTGAAGTTGGCCTCTGATTCTTTGTTGAGGAAAGAGATATTACAGTTTAGTCATTTAGCCCAAGAGAATCTGTGATGCACAGATCCCCTTTAATATGTAATTTAAACTTCCAGTTGACACCAAAAGCTGTTGAAAGTAGGGCCCAGGGCCATTTGTGGCCCCTGAATTGACTTTGTGCTTCCCACAGAAATAGGATAAACCTATGACATTTCCATTAAAATGTACTTAGAAAAATGTTAGATGAAACTCAAAGTGATAATCTTTTTCAAAGCCCTGTGGTTTCATAATATTTTCATGGTAAATAGAATAATATGTTGATGCAGTAAAATCTGCTTTTAATTGCTGCATTCAAGCTTTGATAAACACATCAATTGTTTTAAAGTGAAGACTAACAGATTCTATTGTTATTGATGAGAACATACATATTTTTGTTTTCTTCAATAGAGGCTCCAATAATAACCAAACTATGCTATTTATTTTCTAGCTTTAGTAAATATTAACATGATAGCCCAAAGGTTCTAAAAGTATTTTACATTTTGTTTTTAGCAGAATAAAGATTGAACAAGCTGTGTCTATGTGACAAATATTCGGATGTATTTTGGTCTGAACGTGATCTTAAAGTTGGGGTCACAAATATACAGTGAGCCATAAGTTTCCATAGATAGAAAAAGATAAACATTTTATATTGGACAACCGTTTTTATTTTTGTGGGACTGCCTGTAATCGCTGCACGTCTTGGACCACTTCGTGATTGATCCGCAACATTTCTAGTTTTCTGAAACTTGCAAATAAATTATGCCAGTGTCATGTGTGATGCTCGTTCCATGTTTTCTGTTAAAGTTTCATGAAATCTTGTGACTGCTTCCCGATCCAGCCATCAGTATAATTTCAAATCTTTGCTTTTTTTTGTCAATCGCATCTTCTTGGGTATCTGAAATATATAAAAAAAATACATTTTACATTCTCCTATGTATGGAAACTTATGGCTCACCCTGTACAGTCTGTGCTCTTGCAGTCCTCTCCATAATTAACAATGAGAATACAAGTATGTTATAAGCGCGTAGTGAGATTTAAACAAAAACAGGAATTGAAAATAAAGAAGTTAGTGTTGTCATTGTACCACTTTTTAGCCCAGTAAAAATGCCTGTAGACTCAGCCAAGAGTTGGCGTTAAAAATCTTTTACATTATTTATTTTGCATGTCAGATGCTAAAAAGAAAAGGAAAACCTTTAACCTAAGCGTTGCTTTGAAAGTGTTGACAAACTGCCTGCTCGGAAACTAGCAGTCGGAAGCTAACTTCATCGTCGTGGCCGAGGAACTACTCCTATATACAAAACTATTATTTTATTATTTTAACTATTTATTAGTATGTTTTCTAAAGCATGAGCAACTAAGCAGTTGCTCAGGGTCCCAGGCCCACTAGGGGCCCCCCTAAGTGGAACTGATTTTTTTTTTCTTTTCTTTTTTTTTGTGATGATTTCTTTGTTGTCACCCCCCTCCCACTCCCCACCCTCCACACACACACAATTTCCAGATAAAGTTGTTAATTTGTTTTACAACAATATAAATTTGATCATGTAGAAATCATTTTTTATATGGGCAAAAAGAAAACATTATCTTGGGTGCCCCCTTGTGGCCGCGATTGGTCATGCTTCACCGGTAATGTGCGCTGCGGTGCATAAAGTAACTGATTCTTGAGAATAGGGACAAAACAGGTCCTATGGATAAAGCACCAAATTTGAATAAAATATACACAAAATATATTTTTTTCAAATATATAACTAAACTAACATGGGTCATGTGAGCACAACAATGTATATTTTTCTTGTCTTTGCTGAATAAGGTTGAGAAATAATAAAAAAAAATATGGGAAAATTAAAACCCATTTTGTCCCTATTTTCAAGAATCACTGGTAAGCAAAACAATGCTTCAAAAATGTTGCAGTGACACAGAAAAGCAAGAGGAAGACTATAAAAAGGACAAGATAAAGGTTTGTTTTCATGTGTCTTGGTAATACAGTGTTTATCAAAAAGATTAGTGGAGCTGCTAATAGAAAATTAGCTTGCTAGCAATCTTGAACGCTTCAGTTTCAAAGTCAAACATTTATGTTACCGTCTTTTTATTTACGTGAAACTGAGTTTTAACTTTAAATACGTTCATTCTCGTGGTTGGCCCTTTATATTTCGGAGGATATTTTTGGCTGTTTCATAACAGTAATTAAAATTTCACAGTATTTGACATTGTGAATTCGTTGTTATTACATGTTCGAAATGTTGCAAACAAGTATCTTGTAACATAAAGAACAAAATAAATTTAACTGAAAAAAAGTTGGATTTCAACATAGCGACACCCATAGACATACCTCTTGTTTTAAACTTTCCTTTCCTTGAACAAACATGCAACATTGATTTTAGACGCACCTGTTACATGTGTATCTTGTGAAATAAACATGTTTCCACCAGAGCTTACTACTGTGAGCCGCCATGTTGAAATGCGAAGTCGGCTTTCGTTGGAGTTGAGCCCACTTTCCCAGTGGAAAATCTAACTTCGGAAGGCGTTCCAGTTGATTTTTCTGAATAGTAAGTCGAGATTTCCCAGTTACGGCTACAACTGAATCAATCAATCAAATCAAATCAAATTTTATTTGTATAGCACATTTCAGCAGCAAGGCATTTCAAAGTGCTTTACATAATTAAAATAAAATAAAAATAAAAACAGCATGTGACATTGAGAAAGAGAAAGACACTGAAACGCAAGATTAATAATGTAAAAGTTATTGTCATTTTATGTATTTATTTTGAATTGGTAGGTTGTTCTGCTTGTGGTTTTGGTGTAATAGAATAGAAATGTGCGTTACTATCTCTCAGTGGGAAAATTAAGGTGTACAAGCAGCGAGGTAAAGGTGAATGGAAGCAGACAGTTAAAAATATAAAAAACAAAAAACGTAACACATAAGACTGTACAGTTAGGCAAAAACTACCCACCTCTCGGCCGGAACGTTAGCTGGAGAGGCACCAGCACCTCCCGACCCCACTAAGGGATGAGGGTGTACAGAAAATGGATGGATGGATGGATGAATAGTTTATAATTCCTTTATTTTGAAGAGCCCAGTGTCATTTATTGGCTCGTAAAGATTCCTATTCTCACTTTTTCTTGTCTGATTCAGCAGTGTGGCTATAGATTAGATGCATCTTTCTGGGGAAACCTGCAAGGGGCGACAAACAGTCAGAAGGATAAATCTGCTCTACGAAGAAGGCGGGGGAACAAAAAAAAGGGATGAACATGACTGTGAAGTTGGCCTCTGATTCCTTGTTGAGGAACGAGATATTGCAAAATTGTCTTGTCGTCTAGCTCAATAGAATCTGTGGTGCACAGATCCACTTTAAATATGTAATTTAAAGGTCAAGTTGACCCCATATGCTAGAAGAAGGGTGTTCAAAGTGGGACCTTGGGTGTCTAAGGACAAACTACAAATTTTAACTTAAAATGTACTCTGAAAAATGTTAGATGCAACACAAAGGGATCGTCTTTTCCAAGGTTTCTGGTTTCCTTCTATTTTCATGGTAAATAGAACAATATCTATTGACTTGTAAATAAAAGTACATGTTGGTGCAGTAAAATCTGCATTTAATTGCTGCATTAAAACCTTGATACACACATCAAGTGTTTTAAAGTGAAGTTTAACAGATTCTGTTTTATTGATGAGAACAGACATAATATATTTTTCAGTTTTCTCAAATCGAGCCCATAATAATAAACAAACTATGCTACTTGTTTCCTAGCTTTAGTAAATACTATGGTAGCCCAAAGGTTCCCAAAATATATTATATTTTATTTTTAGCAGATAGTGTAAAGGTTGAACAAGCTGTGTCTAAATTAATCTGCACTTTTACAAAAACCAAACATTTGTCAGATCTGACAAATGTTTGGATTTATTTTGGACTGAAGGTGATTTAAGGCAGTTGTTCTTATAGCTGGGGTCACATATAATCTGTGCTCCTGCAGTTCAAATGAACGAGAATACATAAGCATGTTATAAGCGCTTATGAGATTTAAAGAAAAACAAGAATTGAAAATAAATAGCTGACCATTATATTGACCCGGTAAAAATGCCTGTAAGACTCAGCCAAGATATGGCGTTAAAAGTCTCTTTAATTTTTATTTTGTGGTTCACATGCTAAAAAGAAAAAGGAAAACCTTTAACCTAAGCGTTGCTTTGAAAGTGTTGAACTATCCCTTTAACAAACTGCCTGCTCGGAAGCTATCAGTCGGAAGCTAACTTCATCGTCGTGGCCGAAGAGCTACTCCTATTTACAACAACATAATGGAGCCCAGATGGTCGAAGAACGTTTGCATGGGCGTTTTATGGTCTGGGTGTTTGCTAAGCGTTATATTTGGTGAGTGTTAAACCCTAAAATTGATTTAAAATCCCGTTCCGTGACGCCTGAATCAGCGTTAACAGTTTTTTTTCTGTGATAAATCACGCTCGCTAGCCCTGCGATGTTATCATGGTTGCTCCCCCAGCCCCAGACCTTCGCATTAAAACGACTTTGTTTAGTCTTACTGTAACAGCCGATGATAGTTAAACACCCCGGAGCTGGATTTGTTGCCTATTTATCCCTATTTAACTGTCACATGCTGTTCGCCTTGACGTTATAGATGACAAACTTTAAATTGACTGAAATTTGAATAGAGTTCGGTGGCAGACGATGGCTGCCGCCCTGTTCACGGCTTGCTCTGAACGATAGAGAACGATTCAGGTCGGATACAATCACTGACTGGTTCGGTAGTTTACATCACTGACTGGTTCGGTAGTTTACATGTTTTCGAATCTCTTCTAACTAATAAAATACCTGTTAATATAAGCAATTTTATAATTAAACAGGGGCTTTATGTTGGCCGTGTTTACCTACGTGTCACCCAGTGGGGGGAAAAAACCCTTTAATGTTAATTTCAGCGAGGATGCTTTTATTTACAGTATTTTAAATAAACTATTTTGTTATGCTTCACTCACAGAAGCTGCTTGTTGTTTTTACTGCAGCACCACATCAGCCGTGTTGGTGCAAATCTACAAGATAAAATAGATTTTTGTCCTTTCACTGAGACTCACACATGTTGAGGTGTTATAATGTCGTCATTATCAACACATCTGAAGATCGGGAGCATAATCGGTTGAAATATTGTTGCACAGTAATTGCAAATTTATACAACTTTATAAAATGTTATAAAAGTATTTGTTTGCAAAACGGAAAACAGATGTAGTTAGATTAAGCGTAATGTTTGCACTACTTATTCAGTTTACATCACACAACATTCCATCTCAAGACACTTTACAAAAAATAGTGAATTTAATTTAATCTTAAGGTTATTCCACTTCATCCTAGTTATCTAATTAGCTTCAATGAAGAGTGAAAAACTGAGGAAGTTAAAAGTTGAAATACCAGCACCTGATGTCAGTTAGAGAGTTTGGATGAAGATTAATTTAGAAAATAATTATTTCATTGATGTTTTTTTTCCCTGACAATTAATCAATTAATTAGATGATGAATGCTTGATCATTTGTAGCAGCTAAAACATACTTCCAACAACAACCTGTGAAAAACTCAGCTCTCACTGTTGGACTTAACATGAAAAAGATGTGATTATCTACACTCATCTGTTGATTATTTGAGATTAACAGATTTTTTAAACAGAATTTAATCTGCGTATTTAGATAACATTTTTTTATTTATCTTAAATGCAAAATACATGTATATTTTGTTCTGCTCTGGGTGTGTTGTTCTTTCAGTAAGTAGCCTTTTTAGTCTATTCTCCAGTTAGGGATTAATCAATTACCTGACTAATTCCCGATTATTTGAATAATCAATTAATCCTATTAGTCATTAGCAGGTCCTAAATTCATGTAACTCAACATGCTGCTATGACACCAACACTCTGTGAACAACTAAGTACCTCCCACGATTTAACTTGTAAAACCATCTTTAGCAGTAACATCTGATGTGGAGTGAGTGTAGGTCGCTCTTTTTTCCAACGTTGCTTCAGTTCATTGAAGATTTTTCTGCATTTCAATCAAGTGGTGGCCTGGACTTTTTTTTAATCAATTTTTGCCTCCACTCCAGATAAATAAAATTTGTTTATACCCAATAATGTTACATGCTGTATTGAAAAAATACAACTTATTTTGATTGAATTCTAGTACAGGAAATGTGTTGGCATTCTTTAAAAAAAACAAACTATTTAGTTCACATTCTTGGGTTTTAAAATAAAGAAAAACATAAAATCTTTGCAAAAGGAGGATGTATAGATTTTGTTCAAGGGGATGTTATGGATATCTTCAGGTAAAATTATTTCAAAAGCACAGTTAGGATTTTCAGCAAGATATGGGACAATGTTTTAAGGCAGGGGTCCCCAAACTACGCCCGCGGGCCGGATCCGGCCCGCCTCCACATTTGGTCCGGCCCCCTGAACAATACATTTATTGTATTTTCCGGTTTATATGTGGATTTTTCTTCAACCACCAGGGGGCTCTTTAGCAGGAAGTGTGTCCTGTAAATTGTGAGGTGCATTACTGCCATCTGTTGGACTTTTAGGGAACTGCTTGACTTATATGTTATTTAATCAGTAAGGTTGTTTGCTAGCTGTAGAGCAGATGTGTAGCACGTGTCTGTTATGAACGCCGCATTCCAGGTTGAATTCTTCGAAGCGATGCCTGTAAGTAGCAACTTATACTTCAAAACGAGCCTTTATGTTAACATATGAGAAATTAATATATTATAGTTACATTCCGTCAATGGAATGTATACTAGTTAGTCCCAGTGACGTTTCACTCATGGTTTTTGCCCATGTGCTTTCTGGGTAAAAATAAATTGAGAAACGAAGCCCCCCCACCCCGTCAACAATTTCCGGCCCCCCACCAGAGAAGGGAAAAGTTATGTGGCCCTCACAGGAAAAAGTTTGGGGACCACTGTTTTAGGGTGTTTTTCCAACCTGATGGTCCAATAGACTCGGTTTGATTGGAGTCCAAAGTTGCAACATTTTTTACATTTTCAGCTGTTGCGGTTCGTTTTCCTTTGAAAAACTAGTTCCCCTCCTGGTCTGTGGTGGCGCCGCACCAAGAACCACTGAAGGAAATGACACAAAAACCTCTGAAGAAGACAATGAGCGCAACTTCCTTCTTCACAAAATGTAAACAAAAACGGAGAGGTGTCAGATATTAGCTGTTGTAGAATTTCTCTAGCTAGCGTGTTTGTTTTGGTTGTACCCAGAATGCAATGTTCTATAGTCCACTTCCTGCTTTTGGTGCGGTCGCCGGTCTGCTTGGTATTCGCATATCATGATGCGTAACCTTGGCAACTAGATATTGTTTTTACTTCTGGGAACAGCTGATTAGCATCTGAAAGCTAAAATAACCCCCGAACTCCTCCATCGATTAATAATTTATTGTTTCCCCTACTCAAGCGTCTCTCTGCCTGACTTTCTAACAATGATTTAAAGAGGAGTGTCAAAAGCAAAGGATGTGGATTAGCAGTGCTTGCCAACAACTAATGGTGTCAGAGGCCTCTTGAGATATGTTACAAACTGACTGCTACTGGTTATCCTTTCTGCCCACAGTATTACCATCCACAACAACTCTTTGAAGACACTGGGATGATTAAGAGTTCTAATAACATTCAACTTCCCTTTGGGATAAATAAAGTAGTTTTGAGTTGACACGAATTGCAAAGAGCAGCTCAACATATTCACAAGTATAAAAGTGCATAAGATCAAATGAAATTGAGCATCAAAGCCACAATAAGGAGCTTTAAAAATATCTGCTCACATGTAAACACAAAACTGCTGCCTGCATGTTTGTCAAATCCAAAACAGCCTGAAAACCTTTCTTACTAGAAGCTTTAATGGTAACAAGACGTTCAGTCTTTTTTGCAGAATATGGAACATCAGCGCCTTGCGTTTTCCTCTTGAGTCATTTGGGAATATTTTATGCAGCATATCCACACATATTTAGCAGTTTGAAAATGGATCTTTAATCCTCAGGCAGCAGCTTAACAAACTGAAACTTGCAGTCTTTTTTTTATTTACAAACTCTTATCTTCAGAAGTCTAGCATGCATGCAATAAGAACTGGTTTGCTCTCAATCTTACTCCGATGTCAGTTGATATGGAGGAAATGAATGACGAACACTTCCTTCTGTTTTTTTTGTGTGTGAAATCTTCTCCAACTGAAGCTTTAATGATGTTAGAGTTGTTTGTCTTTCTGATGCTCTGGATTCCCTGCAGCCTCAATAATCAACCTTTTTTAGATCCTTTGCTTGCAGCCAAAGCTGTGAAGTCACATGTTTGAATATGTCAAGTGATTTGTTTTTATAAATTTTTACTTTAGAAATATTGAACCTTACTTAAGGCAAGTTATTAATTACTATTATGCGATTGCTAATAAGTTAATTCAAAAATAATCAACAAACCAGCTCTACGCTGTATTAAGTCGAGCAGAAATCGCTAACATGTTAGCAGTATGTTTTTAGCTGCAGATGCATCCATTGCTACAAACGATCTGACTTTAATCTCACAATTCTAACTTTAATTTCAGAATTCTGACTTTAATTTTCTGAGTTTATAAGTCATAATTCTGGGGTTGAAGTCATAATTCTGAGAATACTGTCTTTAGTCCATTGTATAAGAAAAAATAAGGAATTCTTTTCTTAAAACAGTCTCCCATATCTTGCTGAGAAGTTACTTTAAGTGAGTTTTGTCTTATTTCTAGTGAACTAAGCTACCTGTACTAGAAACTAGACTAAAAACATCTGATAAGATATTTTGTTTTTGCAGTCCAGCTGCTTGTTGATAAATGTTTCTTGCAACCAGATAAGCTCCTGGAAGCTGTGATTAGATGATAAGAAAATAAACGTTCGGTTATCAAAGTGGTTGTAAACATGGCCGATACCTTTCCACACACCAACCAGATAAAAACTTTTCTTTTCTGTCATGAATTCAACCTAATCTCCCTGCAGCTCATTGTCTCCCCAGTGACCACCTGCTGAGCTCTGTGCTGTTGTTGTTTCAGCTCTGCAACCGACCCGCTGTTGACATCCTGTTACTAACGCATTCCCTGACACCATTCTTTCTTTTCTTTTCTCCCACCAAACAGTCACAGGACCTGCATGTGCAATCACCATATACGCCGACTCTGAAGTGATCGTGCAGAACGGCACAACGGCGGTCCTGCGATGCACCTTTGACTCCAGTGAAGTGGTGACCAAAGCCACCAGTGTGAGCTGGACCTTCCAGTCCAATCAGCCCGACAGTCAGTACTACTCAGCTCCATACGTGGTGAGTCCCAGCTGCTGCTGCTCGTGTCCTTTCTGGAACATTTCCCACAATCCCAAGATGTTTTCCTGCCACTGCGATCTGTCCTGCCACTGCGATCTGTTAATAAAGGCTTCAACTGTTCCTCAGGGATGAATGTGATGATTTGGTGTCAGGCTTTGGTTTTGCATGCTTTTTTCAGATTTTTTTGTAGCATGTTTACATCATAAAGCTGCATGTAAACTGAAGCTGTTTGTGGTGTTTATATTCGGGTCACAGCAAGCAAGTTAAATTGCTTTATGACACTGATTTAAAAGAAAAATAAAATTTTTCAGACAATTTATTGTCGGAAGGGACAGTAAAATAGGTTTATTGTCATTACATAAAGACACAACAGTGAATTTGGCAAGAAAAGGTCTAAAACGTGTGATTATGCATATATGTACAGGCATATACAGATACATACATTCATACAAGTGTTTCTGGTGCAGCTAAAAAAATAGAAAACATACAAATAGCAGCATATTGCTAAATATGAGTTGTAAAAATTAGTGGAAAGTAATTCATGACATGATTTTAAAAAGGTCTACACCTTTTTTAAAATGTATATTATATGATTAATCATTTAATCAGATAAAAAAAGGTACATTCTGCAGTCTTTTTCATTTAAGCAGTTAAGCTTTTTTGTACAACATTAGGAAAACACTAAGAAGCAAATAAATAATTTGATTTCTTTTTTACAATATATTGCTTGAAATGTAGTAACATAGCACTCCTTTAGTGTACGTTTGATCATTTTTAGCAAGAACATATTTACAAAGTGGTTTTTTTTGTCTTAAATTCAATGTTCATATTTTTTGTACAGATTTGTTTTAATTTCTGCTCTGTGTTAGGCTTTTGGCAAATTGGCTTTTTTAGTGTCTGAACATTCCAGTTAGTGATTACTATATTACTAAATTAGTTGACAACCATTTCAATGATCACAATTAGTGCAATTAATTGTTTCAGCCCTAAAGCTAGGCTCATTATTTAAAAATATTAAAGCACCTGGAGCAATACTAATATCCTTCAGGAATCTGTTGTCTGAAAGGAAAGCAAACCTAAATGAACCCAAAAAGTGTCTAGTTAATGGAAAACCTGACTCTCAACCTGTTTTTTTTTTTTTTTTTTTAACAGCCCGTTTTTGTTTACAGACAAGTCTGGTCGGGAGCCTCCCTTTCTGCTCTGATCTCCTGCAAAATGTAATGACACAGCCTGGGGGTCTTTAATTTGAGGGGCAGTCTTGCCAGAACAGATGTATGCCGTCAGCATCTGGAGAATGTGTGTTGCACAATCAGCTGAGCTAAAAGCATCTATTTTTTTTTTTCCTGAAGTTTCAACACTTTCCTGTTTAACAAAATCCTCTAAACTAAGAACTCCATGAATCGGTTTGAGTCACTGATAGTTTTGAACATCTCGAAAGAAATGTTTATCTTTTTTTTTTGACTTTTTGAATCATTTTCTGTCCCAGACAAATCCTGCATAATGTGCGGTTTTTGTGTGAGACAAATTAGGAACTTGAACAAGTAGAGAATAAGTAGAGGAGTGACAGGTTTAAAAAGAAATTTGTAATTTTTTTAGCTGCTTCGCACTTGTCTTTGTCAGATATGAGAAGTAGCCGTCTGCCACTCGGGACAATTCGTTCTGACTGTGTCAATTCAGGTCCTGCTTCGGTAAAGAAGACAATTAGAGCCACTAGGAAAACTACAACAAAAAAATAATTCTGACTTTAACCTAAGATTTCTGACATTTGATTTCAGAAGATTAAAGTCAGAATTATTTTTGTTTTTTTGTTTTTTTCAGTGGCTCTACTCCTCTGGTATTTCTGCATCTGACGTTTTCCATTTTCTGTTTTTAGTCTCAGATTTAATATTCTTTCCTTTTTTCTAGATTTTATACTTTTCTGACGGAAAAGCATATCCAGGACAAGAAGAATTCAAACACAGGGTTCAGTTTGTTGGAGACATCAACAAGAAGGACGCCTCGATACAGCTGAGTCCGGCTCAGTTCAGCGACAACGGGACCTTCTTCTGCGACGTGAAGAACCCGCCCGACGTGTCGGGAACTCAGGGCCGAACGGAGCTCAGGGTCGTTCAGAAAGGTAGATTTAAAGATGTATTCGTCTATGTAGATGTTCTTAACGTGACAATACTATTTTCAACTAATATAACAGTGACATAATAATGTGAGAATACCCACTCAGATATGAATAACTTTAATTTTTAAACAACATTTAACACTGAAACCAGAAAACATTTTAAACTTCCAAAATAAAACAAAGCAAATGAAACAAAAAAACTTGCTAAGCCCTGTGGTTGGGGCGCTTGTGCATTCATTCAGCAACCTGTCGTGTTTTTGAATTAAATTTTTTAAAGTTGACAGGAAATTTGAAAATATCACTTGATAATTATGTGTTATTAGGAGATTAATGCTTGAGTTCTGACTATAAAGTCTTAAAAATTTGACATAAAAAAAACAAACTAAAATAAATAAGCTATGCTTAGCATGTTGGGGACCCAAGTAAAGCCTGGTGGCCCGCCAGGTTTATGATACATGGGGGGAAACCCTGTAATTAAAATGGATTATGAAGTCTCTGTAACCAAAATTGTATTTAAAAAAAAATTATTATTCAGCTTAGACGGGGAAAACGGGCAAAAGTGGCAAGTAGTGCAGACTGACTACTTCATCCTGGCTGTCAAATGCTTACAGCATTTCTCAAAATGTCGGCTTTTCAGCGATATTATTAAAGGGGAGCATCTTTTTGATGATTGTCATCCAAATGAGATTTATTTCGCTCATTTCAATTTACCATTATTGATTTATTGCAAATAAATACATACTATAAATGTTAAGCTGAAAGAAAATACAGCCAAAAAGCGTTCAGTAAAATGAATACTGCTCTTGAAATTCATTCCCATTTGTAATTTGTTTCTGTAGGACGCCAGAAAGACGAAGTGTGATTTATATAATAAAACTACGAATTGTAACTGCATTTAATCATATTTTAAAATTTACTGATATTTATTGATGGTTTCATTAGATATATAAAACTAACAATACAGGCAGTTTTCGGGGTTTTAAACATTAACTGGAATTTGTTATGAGTGGTAAATAAAAATATAATAAGAAATTTATTGCGTCAAATGATAATACGATAAATGCCATATATATGCATATATGTACTTATGTATGTATGTGTGTGTTTCTTTTTTCAATTTTTTCCTGAATTAATTGCATTGAATTGCAACAGTAGAATGATAGAAAAAGTACAAAATATTTTATATTTATCTAAACAGAGAATAAATTATATCATCCTCTTTTTTCCCAAAAGTTTGTTTTTCTTTATCTTAAAATGTAAAAGTAATAAGGTGTGTTTTTGTAAATAAAGTTTTCTTTTGTAGATATTTATAAAAACTGTTTTATGGCTCTAAATCATAAAACCATAATGTGGGTGAATTAACTGCAAGAATGGCTCTTTAGAATGGACAGGGACAATAACAGAGAATTAAAACTTTTAGTTCAGTTGTATTGTTTCGGTATTGGAGAATTTACCTTAAAAATGCTTGAAAAGTGCTTGAATTTTAGTGCGGGAAAAGTGGTATTTGTGATATTGCAGATTAAAGTTTTTTTTTAGGTCTTGCTTAATTTTATTTATGTCTATCTGTACATTTAGGACTAGCTTCTCTGTATTTGCAGGCTAAACAGATTTAGGCTACGTTCACACTGGAACCTGAAGTGACCCAATTCCAATTTTTTTGTCATCTGATTTTTTTGGCGTTATTGTTCACACTTCCAAATATATGTGACCTGTATGTGTTCTCCAGTGTGAATGGCAAACGACCTGAAAGTGTCCCGCATGCACACTAGAGGGCGCAACAACGTCACACATAGAGAGCGTGCACAGTGTTTTGCCAACCACCATAAAAAAGAAGTAGTGCTCAGTGTTTGCGGAAGTAAACATGGATGCTAACGTTGGAGCATAGCTTATGATTTTAAAGTTGTTGTCCGAGCAGAGCAGCATATTAACAACGTAATCCTTATAATGACCCAGAACCGGACGACTTATGGGTCTTTCTGACACCCTTTTGTAACGGCCTGACTTGCAGAATTCTTGCAGTTGTGACATTAACTGGAATTTGCTCTGGATTTTTACAGATGTTTTTTAGGGTTGTCAGAGTAAAAAAAGTTTGAAGAAAAATTAATCAGCTTACGAGTCTGTTTAGATCAAAATTAGCTCCAATTGATTAACTAAAGATGGGCACTTAGACCTTCTTCTAGTGTTGTAGTTCAGCCTCCATCAAGCAGAGGGCGCTGCTGGTTAACTGCAGTCTGTGGTACAGAAACAAAGATCGCAGCAGGGCCAATATCAGAACTGCAAATTCAAACGGTATAGAGTCCAGTGTGGGAAACAAAATGCACTTTATGTGACTCTGTTTTGAAATATAAGCACTCAAAAAGCTCCTTAATTTATCACCTTAATGGTGCTCATTCAACTGAACTGCACGACGGAGCATCAACTTTTTGTTCAGTTATGCTCCTTTTTGTGTTTGAACACTTAACGTGTTGTTTCAGGGGGAATGCAGTAGGAAGGAACAAGCAGGCCCAGATGTGTCTGCTTGTTGTTTGTATCCAGCTACATGAAGCGAACAAGTGCATGTGATGACTTGTCATCTATTTGGCTCAGCGGCGTTTCAGATCCACTCTGGTGGGAGTTGGTTCAGCATGCTAAAATAGAACGATAGCCGGAGGCAAACACGCCTCTCTTCCTCTTTTCTCTTTCAGTCACAGCGTCTGCTTTGGCTCGCCTTTCCAAGACTGATGATTAAGTTAACTTTTTGATTTCTGTACCATAATTATGTCTGAATAGCCTATAGAAATTAAATTGAGTAGGCTTTTTTCTACATAAAATAATCTTGTGGACTGGACTTCCTGTGCACTAGCCAGAAATAGGTGGGAGGTGGAAAACTGCAATTCTACCACCAGGGGGAGAAAGTTAGGACAATTCCAGGGGCCCCTGACCGACATATTGTGTTTGTTTACAGTTGCTTTTACCAGTAAAAATTAAATGTTGCCCCTACCGTACCAAAAAGCACACATACACATTTGCACTGAACACCCTCCTGGATCTGCATGAAATGGTTTGTTCCTGCTGGTGACGGTGTTTAGCAGCAGTTAGTAGAAGACAAGAAGTCTACGGCAGCTACTACGCTGCCAAGAAAAATAATAGTCAGGTTTCAAAGAGAGAGAGAGAAAAATAAACGAGTGTCAATTTGTAACCCAGTTTTTCTCCAAGAGAGGTGGGTAGACTGTGTGAGATTATCAACCATTTAGCATAGTTAGCTTAGCTACAAACTACTTTTTACCTCCATTTCTCTAGCATTTAATGAAGGAAAAAATTAATCAACTTATTCATATATTTAACTTGTCCCTGTACCTTTTACTACACTTAACAACAGATGAGTCAGTCAGCAGCAGCTCTAACCCCAACATCAGCATAACTCTTAGCCCCTATCCCAGTGGAAAAGGTGAGCAACACTGTAATCAATGATAAGCTAGTTAGCATCATTCCAGTGGATTTTTCCCACCTCTCTGCTCTTTTTACAGTTACACAACAAAAACAGTATGTATATTACTGACAGAAATTCAAACTTTCTTTATAAAATGATAATAAAAAACAGCCTTCAGTCCTGCATTAGCTTGCATTTAAATTACAGATATCTGTTGCCACATCCCTCCTGACCTTTCCCCATCCTAAGTGAAATTAAAGTTGCAGTGTGAAACTTATAAAAATATATATAGATTTTTATTTATTTATTTATTTTTTTACATATTTCTTAAAACTGTCACTATGTTGTGACAGTTTGGTATGAGATATAATCTGTGAAAAATTTATTTCCTCTGCCTTCTCCCAGTGCTATCTAGAAGCAACCAATCAGAGGCAGGAGGCGGGTTTTAGCGCTGTCAATCACAATCTCGTGGCTGCTCATTCTTCCTCCCCCCAGCTAGCATAGTCTGTTGTAAATGCTCAGTCTAGTTAGCATAGCTACCACTGTCAGCAGATAAACAGTTTTCCTGTAACAATAAGTTGTTTCTCAGCCATTAGCACATTTAGCAGTGAGTGAATGAGGTTGGATGAGAGCTCTGAGACCCTCCTGGTTCTGATTGGCTGTTTTTGGTCAGAACAGTGCATCACTTTAGGCAGTAATATTAGCTCAGGGAGGAGCTAATATTACTCAGATTTTCACAGATTATCTGTTTCATAACAAACTGTCACGACATGGTGACAGCTTTAATAAATATGGACAAAACATATTTCTTATTGACATTTTATACTGCAACTTGAACAAAATGCAACAACATAGCATTTTTTTGAGAAGTCTGAATTGCTTTATGTATATTTTGCACGTCGCCTGTGATGTGACTGTTGCTGGTGGGGAGAGACATTTTATTAATTTAAAACTAATATAAAAAAATAGGCAACCTATTTGCATACAGTATGTGGACTGTTGCATGTAAAATTCACTAGCAGTGAACGTTGTGCTAGTATTAGCAGTGTGGGGGGATAAAATTTTTTATCATGGTCCTCAAGATAACTGGCGACGCCGCTGGCTACCATTCTTATAATGTGTTAACGTCTGCATTTTGTTATCATTCTCACATCAGTTCAACCCTCTGGGGTCACCATTTTATGCCATAATTAACTTCAGTGCTCTACAAGCATAGCAGAAATATTTTTATCTTTGAATTTTTACCAACCAGCTTTAGCAACAGTTTTTTTTATTTTTGTTAAAGAAAAATAAATAAATGAAATTATTTATTTTTTTATTTACAGCGTGATTTATCCAAGCCTGGGCTTTTAAAAAATGACAATATCCTGATGCAGATTTTGTTTTTAAATAAATTGTTCAACCTTTCTGCATATAACATAGAATAATTAATAATAAATAGTTCAAGTTTACTTTTATGAATGCTGTTATTAACTCGAGCCACTAAAAACATAAGCGATATATATAATTTTCAGAGTTATTTTAATCCTGTTTGTTGCATCTTTAGTGACTGAAATCTATCTTTGATGGCTATTTATGCTAGGGGATAGATATTATTAAGTGTTTTTTTTTTGTATCCCAAAAGTCTTTCTCCATTTTTTTATGCATAATAAAGACTTTGGAAACATGATGGAAAAACACAATATGGCAAAACCTTTCACAATTTGCAGCCGAGTTAATGCACAGTTACAGTTCAGTCAAAACAAAACACCATCTGGAGACCCATCTGGAGGGTTGAAATTTCTTCGGTTTTGTGTTGTTTGTGTTGGGTATGTTACTTTGAAATGATCAAACTGTTACATTTAGAAATGTCTACTTAATAACAGTAGTGTGAACATAGTGATTGCTTTGTCAGAGATATTGTACGATTTCAGAACCTGCTTCATTTGAAGAAGGCACAAATAATTTTCAAATCACCAAATAAGTTCCAGAAAAAAAGTTTTCCAGAGATAGAGGGCGTGAGATCTCACAGTACAAAATATTCATATTTTTCTTTATTTTTTTTTTTTATTTACATAATGCTTTTTGTTTACTTTAGTTCATTTCAAAAGTAAGACTTTTATTTATAAAACTCATTTGTTGAACTCTAGGCAACATGTTTTGCAGGAACTGGCGACAAAAGTAGCTCTTTGAATTGAAAAGTTTGCTGACCATCAGCCTAGTCAAAGCACAGACCACTCAAGTTGAGAATATCTGATAAAACCTTAAAGCTGATTCACTGTTCAGATTTGTATTGAATCATTCTGTAAACTTATATTTTTTCCTTTCCCCTTCACTATAATGAACTGCTGTGTGTGTTTCATGTGCAACACATTAAATCACAAAAAAATACACAAAAAGTTTAGGTTGGAACATGAGGAAAATATGAAAAAGGGCACGAATATTTTTATAAGTCGCTGTAAAGATGAAACAAATTTCTTGAGATTTATATGAAATTTTGCTTTGCTGTGTTTGCTGTTCCAGCAGAGTCTCTCCCTCAGACCAACACTAAGATTGTAATCTTAGCAGTGTGTGGTGCTTTAATTCTGCTCATCGCCGTCGCTATAGCTGCCTGCTTCGCCGTACGGGTGATTCAAAACCGGCACGATTACGAAGGGTGAGTAACGCTGCTCTGCTTGATCCCAACACAAATTGATGCTCTATTCTATGCAAACGGTTTGTAAAAGTGCAGAAAAGAAACGTTTCTTTTTCAGCCATGTTCATCAAATTGTTTGGAAAAAGTAGGAATATTTAATATTTTACTCTTTCATCTAGTTTTTAAGTTCCAGTTATTGTCACTGTTGTTGATTCTAATTGTAAATCCAGATATTTATTGGCCTTTAATCGCCTGGTTGATTGTATTGGTATTGGCTGCATGGTTTGGGTACTTTTGTGGGCTTTTCTGAAGACAGTTGTCTTCTTCTTGATTTTAACTCCTTCTGCATGGGAGCTGCATCTTCTCTCCACTTGCTAAGAAAGAATAATGAACAAAACTTTGGATGCTTTAACTTGATTGTTAAATATTAAACTACACTTTGTACTGTCTGAGGTAGCTTGATTATGTCTTGCATGTCAACACTGAATGTAGATTTTAACCTCACACTTGATAGACGGTGTTAAACCTGTGCAGAGAGGGGAAGGTCTCTTGTTTGAAGCTGTGGCTACTTTGATTGGCGATCTTTGGGGTTGCTGTTTGCTCTGGTGTCAGTCATTGTTCTCCATCTCTGTGTCCTAACAACTAACGCCATTCTAACATTTTCATTTAACATCACTAGCAAACCTGCTGTGAGCAAAGCTGCACATTGTCTCGTCATTCATTCGCTTACATGCAGTCGTGTAACCTGATGTAACCTGTCAGCTATTCTCCTTAAGGAACAATTTTCCCCCCCCACTGTTGGCTCAATAAAAGTGTCAATAAATCTAAATACATTTGAAAATAAAGTTATTGTGAGCCGTTCTATGATACAAATCACACTTCTTTATGTTACTGATGTCCTAAAGAAGTGGATTACAAATGGGAATGTTTTTTAAGAGCAGTATTTGTGTTTGTGGGGCTATACGTTCTGTGACACACAGTCGTTGCCATATAGATACCTAAAAATAATGTCATAACTAGTCTTTATCACTTTTATCGTTATCACAATAGTACCGCAAAATATTGACTTAAAGTGATAAATAAGTCCATATTGCTCACCACTAATATCTTGCGTGCCTCCATATTTAGTCTTCATACATTCAAGGTTTGTGTTGTCTTGAGCCAAGGAGCATTTACAAAATAACAGAAATCAAAGGCTAAGAGTGGATCAGAACCAAATTTGATGGAGTCAGAGTATAAATGTTTATGCATCTTTCATTCACAGAAACATGCTTAATCACTGCCTGTGTGGATTATGTGACTATTACATCTCTATCTACTCATGTTTACTTAGAAAATGTTAGCAGAAGGTCCTGCCCTCATGGAGATACCTTAACAACTTATCTTTTGTCATATAAACTATTTATTGTATTCACAGAATTTAAGCTCAAGAAATTTGTTCTCATGATTTAAAAAAAAGTGAAGAAAATGTCTCAGACTTGAGACATTTTGCTGCATCCTCAGGTTATTGAGCCTTGTTTTCATTGTAACATTTTAGAAATGATACATAGAAAGTTCATTTTCTTTCAATCAAAGAAGTCACTTTTAGATTGAGGACTAACATGTATAAAATTTTGGTAACACGAAAAAAAAAACATACTTTCTAGAACATTTATGTTTCTTTAATAAACATGCACATTACTTTCTAGAACTTGGCAGTTATTTTCTAAAACCCATAGGTTACTCTTTAAAACTTTTGGGTTACTTTATAGAACTTCTTGGTTGCCTTCTAGAACTTTGACATTACTTTATATAACTTACAGGTTACTTTATGGAACTTTTAAATTATTTTCTAGAATTACAGGTTATCATGTAGAACTTTCACATTATTTTGTAGAACCTACATTATTTTGTAGATCCTATTTTGTAGGATCTAGAACCTGTAGGTTCTAGATCCTACAGGTTACTCTTAGAACTTTTACTTTCCAGAACTATTACATTTTCTGAATTTTGGTTTCCCAGAATTTAAACATTACTTTCTGTAACTGCTATCGAATGTAATGTTTACTTAGACATAACTTATTTTTTCAGAACATGCATAATATCTGCCATAAATTTGCCTAGAACTAACAAGGAATAAATTAAATGTTAAGTTGCAGCAAGTCGCATAATATAGTGCAGCGTGGCCCCCCAATTTAATTTGGGGGTGCCATAATACCATCCAAATCCCATTAGTTCAGCTCTGACCTTCTCACAGCTGCTTTGTTTCATGTGCCCATCACTCATTGCTTTTATTTTTGTCTTGTGTCCCGTCATGTGTGTTTATGTTACTTTGACTGTGCACTGCTGGTTGCTCGACACCACTGCAAATCGTAACCCTAAACTAGATGTACGTCCCTGGAAGGCGCGAGCTCTGAAGCTCCGCGGCCGCTAAAGAAGGCGGAGTCCAGCCGGGAGGGCACCAGGTCGACCAGCCCCTCGGGTCCGCTGCAGGTAGGAGCTCCAGGACGAAGAAATCCACCGGGTGCCACTCTTTCAAAGGTTCTAGTCCATTTTAATGATGTTTCTGTAAATTTAGGCATGTTGTCAGGTCTGTCAGAAGTGAAGACCCAGATTTACGGTTGGTTCTGGTGTGCCGCTTCGTCAGGTTGGTTCTTGAAATGACCGATTTAGGTTGATACAATAACAGGTTTTAAGTTATTTTGGTACTGTGCTGTTCAGTGATTTATAAACTAACAGATTTATTTTAAAGTCTATTGTCTGAGCTACAGGGAGCCAGTGTAAGGACGTTAGAACTGGGATGAAGTGCCCCATCTTCTTGGTTTTAGTGAGAAAATGAGCGGCAGGGTTCCAGTTCAACTGCAGCCGCAGGATTGATTTTTTTTTTTTTTTTTTTTTTTTTTTTTTTTGGAAACCTTTTGAATACTGTTTTGGCGATAATAATAAAAAAA